GCCCCCCCCTCGCACCTGGGACACGGCGACGATGTTGGCGGCATAGGGGGGCAGGTCGTACTTGCACTCCCGGCAGATCTTCTTCAGGGTGGAGACGCTGGAGATGGAGAGCTCGGGGTTGCCCAGTGCCTGCAGCACCAGCGGCAGCACATTGTTGATCATGACGGGATGGTCAGCCAGCCACTCGGACAAGGCCCCTGTGGTGCGAGGCGGGTCAGCCACGGGGCGGGGCCACACTCCCCTCCCAGCCCCCACCCCACTGAAGCAGGAGATGGCCTGGCCCTGCAGGGCCCGGGGCACGAAGCCCAGCGGCGTGAGTCCCAGGTAGGGACTAGCCACCGGTGGGGTGGGTGGGGGCAGGGGGCAGCGAGGGGGGGCCCAGGCTCCCCCACGACGCCTCACCGATCGTGAACATGACCGTGTCAGCCAGCTGCACGTTGCTGATGCTGATGCGGGGGATGAGGCCGATGAGCCCGGGCACCACGTCCGAGTAGTTGACGTCGATGGTCTCGGCGATGGACTGGAAGCCGTAGAGCAGGGCTTCCGTGTGCTGCGGAGAGGCGCCCGCATCACAGCCCGGCCAAGGAAGCGCCCCCCTCTGCCCCCCACCTGGGCCCACATCCACTGTGCCCACCCATGGCTCCCACCTGCGAGCAAGGGAAGCAGGGGCTGGGGACTGGGGTGGGGGCACCAGCAGAGGCTCCTTGGATCTCTTCTTGGGCCAAGGGAGGGTGCTGCCTCCCAGGGCACTGCCCTCCTTGCCCCACTGATGCACCAGAGGGCTCAGTCAGTCCCTACAATGGGGCAGCTCAAGGAGCAACCATTTCCCTGCCCAGATGGTATGCTGCCCCTGGCCCCCTCCCCTGACACCACACACAGAGGCTCCAGCTCTGAAGAGGAGCCCCAGAGCAGAGAGGACAGACCCTGGGCCAAGAGCTGCCGGGACTGGGCCCTACTGCATACCAAGTCATCTACTTGCTTGGCCAGAGCCTGCCAGCCCAGGGGCCTGGGTGCTCACTTCACCCCCCACCCCCAGGCAGGGAGAAGGCAGCTGCACGCACGTCCCCCTCATCTGCTGCCCGGGACCAGGAGTGTCTCAGCCTGGTGGGTCCTGGCCATGCTGCACCTGTGCCAGGTGCTGCCCGATGCAGCCACGGGGGGCCTGCACCTGGACGGCAAATAGCCCCACAGCAGACAGTGATGAACAAGGCAGTGCTGGCGCTGTGGGAGCTGGCCACAGGCTGGCTGCTGGGGGTGCCGGTGAGGCGGTCCAGGCCAGTCAGGCTCTCAGAGCCCTGCCCCACTGGTCCTGGCTGCCCCGCACAGTGCACCCCCAGTGCCCCCACCAGGGCAGCACGCCTCCACGCCCAGCACAGGGATCTGCTGGACCTGGGGCTGCTTGCTCACCTGCCAGGAGGATGGCTGCTCCGTGCTGGTCAGCAGGCGGCCCAGCTTGTCGTAGAGGCTGCTCAGCAGCTCCGCGCCCAGCATCTCGTAGACGTACATCAGGGTGTCAGAGATGTCCACCCTTGGGTGGGGGGCATGGAGTCAAGCACCGATCCCCCCCATGCTGCCCTGCAGCCCCAATCCACACTGTCCCCACCAGGCACAAGGGAGACCCCAGGGCCCCTTGCGCTAAGACAGGAGCTGGGAAAAGGATGCGTGCGCCCCCCTGCTCCCCGGCACACCTGTATATCCGGAACTGCTCCTTCTCGTCCGAGGACCAGAACCCATATTCTTCATCTGAGGGGAACTGAGCCTTGTGCAGCAGCACGTCCACCAGCTGGAAGTACACGGGCCGGTACACCTGCTGGTACACCGCCTGCTTGTCCGGCTCAAAGGACAGGATGTCATCCTGGGGAGAGAAGGGGAGACCGGCTGCGCTGGGTGGGAGTGCAGGGCAGGGCCAGACCCTGACAGCCCAGAGCTCTGGGGGGGCGAGGAGCTCCCCAGCCCCCTGCTCAGCTCCGTGTGCCCTTGGGGACGCCTGGGCACCGCGTCCCTGCAGAGCGCCCTGGCAGCCAGGCCAACCCGCAGCCCATGTTGATGCCTGGCCCACACCATCACGCTCCATCCTCCCTGGGCCCCCACGGCCAGACACTGGCAAGGCAAACTCAAAGCCTGTTCGGGGCTGTGGGGCTTCCACTACGACCAGCCCCTGCGACACAGCCAGGGCTGCTGGGACAGATGGTCCAGGGATCTGTGCTCCTCCCTGGGCTGCCCTGAGGCTGAACCAGAGCTTCAGCCCGGTGCTGACACTGCCTCCTCCTTGGCTCACGTGGCACCACCATGGCTGGCTGTGGAGCAGAGAGCTGGAGCGGAGCCCAGGGTTAAATACAGCCCATTACCTTGCCAGTGGCAGGGTCAGTGCTGCTGCGCCCAGGGGGCTGCGGTTCCCGGGCAGCAAGGTCAGTGTGCCAGGGTACCAGGTTGCAGAGCTCGAGGGCACTGACGGGACGGGACTAGCCCAGGTCACTAAGAGGGAAGCATGAGCGGCGGGTAGGGGAGCCTGTCGCGGCTCAAGCCCCCTATCCTGCAGGGTGATGGCCAGCCAGAGGATCCCAGCAGCCTGGCTCCCTGCCCCCCTCAACAGACAGGGCGCAGGCCCAAGAACGGGGCCAGGCGCACATGAAGACAATGCGTGACCTCATCTCCGCCGGCAGCTGGCACAGACACGCAGCGCAGAGCTGCAGTCAGACTTGCTGCTGGCGGAGGCTGGTGTGTGAGGGGGTTTTTAATTAGCCAGGCTAACGAGGCCCAAAAGGAACAGGGTGGGGGGTGAAGCCAAGCCAAGTGGCTGAGGCCTCCCATGAAGGCCTCTCCTGCACTGGCAGGGGCTCCGGCTCCCCGGAGCGGTCAGGAGAGGGGGTGCCCCCTCGACCAGCCAGCCAGGCCCCCAGTGAGATGCCAGAGCCTGGGGTCACTATACCCACTCGCAGGCCCATCCTAGCCATGGCCCCCAGGGTCTGCAAGGCAGGGGGAGGCCCACAGGGCTCCTTCCCTCCAGGGGAATGGGGCAAGGCGCTGGGCTGGCTCTGCACCGCAGAGGGAGCAGAGAGAAGGCCCTGGGGCTTGCTCCCTTCTAGCCGCTCATCCAGGCCGTGGCCGGCCCCACCACAAGACCCCAGCTCTGCCCTGGGGGACTGTGCTTGGCTAGGGAGGAACAGGCTGCAGCCCCCCCAGTTCTGCCCACTGCCATGGAGAAAGGAAGTCCCTCAATCATTTCAGTCAATCATCATATCACTTCAGCTAGATGCCCCCTTGCTCCCCTGGAAACCATTGGGATGAAGAGGACCTGGGATGGCCCCCAGCTTGTGGCCACTGAACTGGAGCCTGATGGGGCTGTGGCCAGGGGTCCCTCCAGCATCATGGAGGTCCGGGGAGCTCAGCACTGCTCCCAGCTGCTCCACCAGGATGCAGCTGGGACGAGCCTAGTTGAGGCTCCTCAGCCCGAGCCCCAGATCTGCCAGACCCAGGGGGGCAGCTCTGCAGGGCAGTCCTGTGGCACAGGGCCCAGCCTGAGCTGTATGGGGGAACAGGCACTCGACACCCATCTGTGCCCAGCCCCTCACTGAGCTGCCACGCAGCAGTGGGCCTGGCCTGGGCCCACAAGCTCTTGCAACAATGACCCAAGGCCAAGCAGCAGGGCACACGTGCATCAGCGCGTGCCTCGACCCTGCTAGGGGACAGCAGGCAGGAGTGGAGGGCTGACTGGGAGAGGGCTGTACAGCATGGAAAACCAGAGGAGCTGCAGGCCCAGGACAGCAACCCTCCAGCCTGGTCCCCTGCCCAACCCCGTGCCTGGAACCGCTGGGTCACGATGGGTGTCCCCGGGCACCAGCCTCACCTGCAGCGTGTACCAGAAGGTGAGCGTCAGGGAGCTGGTGGTCTCGTTGACCGGGTAGTGCCCGGGGATGCCGGTGCAGAACATGATCATGTTGACCAGAGCCAGGAAGCTCTGCCAGTGCTCCACCTGGTCCAGCAGCGCCCTGTGGGGAGGCAGCGCGGGTCAAACTTCGTGGAGCCCGGGTAGGGCAGCTGCAGCTGGACTCGGGGCCCACAGCGACCCCATCATTGATATCCCCCACCAACCCCACCCCCCAGGAGGGGGGAAGGCTCCTCATGTAGGGACGGCCCCGGCCCCGGCCCCACTCACCGGGAATGGTTTTCACCCAGGGCCACGGCGATGCGGCAGATCCCGTGCGACGTCTCCATGTCCCCGCTCTGCACGGCCTGGCGCAGCTGCTCCTGCAGCCCCAGCACCAGGGGGATGAGTTTCAGCAGGGTGTTCACGTACCTGTAAGGAGAGCTGGGTCAGCATGGGACCCTGCACTGGGATGGGGGCAGTGAGCTGCATGGGGCTCAGGCTACCCCAGCCTTTGCTCCTGGCCCTAGTGGCCCAGATGCAGAGGTCCAGAGTCTCAAAATCCTGGAGCCGCAGGGCTGGAACGCACTGGCAGGGGTCACATGCCGTCCCAGCCCTGTCCGAGGCAGGATCAGCCCTGTCCAAACCAGCCCAGACAACCATAAACTAAACTAAACTCTACCAGCCCTCCGCTCCTGCTCTACTGTTGCCCCTGATGCAACATGGACATCACCCCTTCCCCCGGGAAAGCACGGGGGTCGTGGCTGCCAATGTCCTGCTGCTGCCAGGGGGGTCATGGATGCTGCAGGGAGCCCTGCCCCCGCTGCAGAGGAAGGGAAAAACCCCCAGTCCACACCAGTCTGAGCAGAGGGGAAATCCCTTCCTGCCCCAGTGCAGGGTGGGGCTGAGCCTGAGCACGGGGGCAAGATCCCCCCCCCCCCGGGACCCTGTGGGGTTGGTGCCAGCAGGAACACTGGTCCAGCCCAGCCCCATCCCCAGCCTGGGCTGCAGCAGCACCCAGTTAAACCCCCCCTGACATGTGGAGCAGAAAAAAGAGGGGGTGGGGGGGCAGGAGACTGCCACCCTGGGTCACAGGGGAGGCTGAGGAGGTCTCTGTGGCTGGGCAGACAACAGGCACGTGGCAGCCCCAAGGCCTCTGGGCACCAGCAGCTGCACAGGGGCCTCATCAGGACATGCTGCCCCCTGCCCCACCCCCGCCCCAAGAGCCCGGCTCATGGCCTGGCGCACGGGCACCCCCCAGGCAGCAGCAGCATCCCAGACCGATGCCCCCTGATTTCCCTGCGGCTGCCAATAAGCGACTGTAACCATGGCAGCCGGCAGCGAGGAGGAAGCGGGCGGGCGGCCCCCAGAGACCGGCTGTGCCGGAGGCTCCGCGCCTGCCTGCCACTCACCTGCCTGCCCTGGCGCTTATCTGGAGATGCCGGGCCGGCGGGTGCACGGGGCCAGGGCCTCTGCCCTGCTGGAGGGGGCACCGCCACAGCCCACGTCTGCCCCCAAGCGGGGCAGTGCCAGGCCCCGGAGGGAAGGGCGTTGCGCTGGCCTGTCCAGGGATGGCCGCTCCCCCAGGCCTTGGCAGGCGACAGGGACCCACGTTTCCCCACCAGGGGCTGGAGGGTCCCCGGGGTCTCCCAGCCGGAACCGGGCCAGCCCCCAGCGAGGAGGGCGTGAAGGGCCCTGTGCTACGGGCGTGTTGCTCGAATGGCCAGCCTGTCCTGGGACGGACACCAGGGTCTGGGCTGGGCAGGAGAAGGGTCCGTGCAGCACACTGCAGCCGGAGCATGTGAGGGTCCAGGACGGACCGTCCCGGTGGGCAGTGGAGCACGTGGTGGGGGTCGGCATCGCTGGCCAGCTGGGGAGCGCTCCCCCAGACGGGGCTGAGCCCCGGGGCTGGACAATGGGAAAGCAAGTGGAGAGCAGGGCCCTCACGGACCAGCCAGTGCTGCCCGCACGGTTCCTGCCAGCTCAGCTCCTGCCAGGACGGATCACCAGCATCCAGAGCCCCGCGGGGCCCCTTCCAGCCTGCTCCTAGCTAGGGGCTTCATCTCCTTCTCCCCCACTCACTGCTGGTGGCTTACCTTGCTCTCTGCCTCCTGGGCACAGCCCACTCCAGGCCTGGTGCAGACGACGGGCAAACTGCCCGCTGGGCACATGGGGGGCAGCCCTGGCTGGCTTGATGCAGCCGGCTGCAGGCCCACCTGCCCCATGCCCAGGGGAGCAGGATGCAGCAGGAGCCTTCAGGACGGTCTGGAAGGGGCAGGGAGGGCAGGAGGGTCCTGGGAGACCTGTCTCCACTGCGGCCCTGCTTGCCACCCGGGATGGCAAGGGACTGCATGGGGTCAGAGGTCCCCGCAGGGCTGGAGACGAAGGACGGGGATGGATGCTGGGGTCAGCATGGACCCGGCCCTGTGCAGGGCTCACTGCCCGATAGGAGCCAGCTGTCCAGGCAGGCACTGCAGCAGATGCGAATCCAGGCCAGGAAGGCGGCTGTGGCCTGAGGGGGGCTCGGATACAGTGGAGAAGAGCTGCGCTCCGGGAGGGGGAGGAGCAGGGCACAGGCTGGAAGCTGATGCAGGGGGACAGATGCGGGATGGAGACAGAAGCCTGTCCCGGTACCTGCCGCAGGCGGCCAGAGCCCTGGTGATAGGGGAGGGTGCCAGCCAGCCTGGGCCGGCAGCAGCTCATCCCCGCCATGAAGCAGCGACTGGGCTGGGGGAGGACGGGGAGAAGCTCTGGGCATGTGCACCCGGGTACTGGCAGGTGGGGGCCTGAGAGCAGGGGGACGACGAGCCCCTGATGTGGGGCTGGGCCTCGCCGATGCGGGAAAGCTGCAGCCCAAGCCATCCCCGCTCCGAGCACCGATGGCTCAGAACAGCCTAGCCTCCGCCTGCCTGCGGCCCGCATTCCTGCCCTGGGACGGCTGGTGTTGGCGGTGGCGCCTGCCCCAGCCGTGTGGCCAAGCCGCTGGGCACCCGGCTACCCTTGCAAGAGGGGGTGACACTGAAATGGGGGGGAGGGAAGAGCTCCCAGCAACACCAGCCAGGCTGAGGGGTGCATCCGGCATGGTCGCTGCAGAGGCTCAGATGCAAGGTCATGGCATTCAATGACAGTGCATGGGGATGCCCTGGGGACTGGCACGGGGCAGCCATGCTGTGGGCACTGCCCCCAGCCAGGGGAAGCAACCCCAGCTCTTGGTGGCACCCGTTTCAATGCAGCCAGGCAGAGCCGGGTGCAAGCTGGGGGCCAGGCGCAGGAGCGTGGAGGCAGCCGGGCCCGGGCAGCCCATGGGAATGGAAGGAGCCGAGTGCCTGCAGCTTCCCTGGGCTCCGGCTGCAGCCCCTGTCCCGGCAGGGCCAAACTCAGACCCCCTCCCTGCCCTGGCATCCGAGCGCGCGTGGAGGCCGCGGCCCGGCTGGCACACGCTGTGCTGGCTCGGCTCGGCCGCCCATTCCCCCTCTTCGCTGGAGAACAGCAAGGTTGCTAAGCAACTAAGAGGAAAATGTGGCCGACGGGAGCCTTGGAGGAGATGCACTTTCCCTGAAGGGGCAGCGGGCTCGGGCCTACGAGACAGCCCTGCTCAGCTCGTGGCGCCGGAGCAGGGCAGACCTCGGCTGCGTCTGCCCCTTGAGGGCAGTGGGCAGTGACAGGCATCTCCCTTAAGCCCACAGCCCTCGGCCCCTGCCGTAGGGCTGATGGATGCTGGTGGGATCAACCTGCTCCTGCTCCTGTCCATCCCTCTGCGGGATGTCCCCAGCACCCGGGCCCCGCCGGGCTGGCTGGATGGGAGCAGCAGCACGCGGAGCCAGCAGCCGGGATGCGCTTGTGCCATGGGTCAGTGCTGGGTGTGGAGCCTTCTGCCACTAACCAGCACCACATGCAGACCGGAGTCCTGGAGCCGCGGGGCAGGCAGGGAGCTGTGGGGTCACATCCAGTCCAAGCCCTGCCGGAGGCAGGATCATCTCTGTCCAAACCAGCCCAGACAAACCCCGTGTCCGGGCTCTGAGCAACATGACCGTCGCCCAACACAAGACATCGCACCCGCCCCTGCCCCTGGCAAAGGAGGGGGCCGCAGCCGCCAATGCCCTGCTGCTGCAAAGGGGGTTCATGGACGCTCCAGGACCCCAGACAGAGGAAGATAACTCCCCCCAGTCCAGACCAGTCTGAGCAGGGGGGGAATCCCTTCCTGCCCCCAGTGCAGTGTTGGGCTGAGCCTGAGCGCAGGGGCAAGACCCTCCCGCCAGGACCCTGCAGGTTGGTGCCAGCAGGAGCACTGGCCCAGCCCCACCCCAGCCTGGACTGCAGCAGCACCCAACACCCAAATGAAAACCCTGACACAAAGCAGTGGGGGGGGGGGAATTTCCCTCCCAGCTCCCTGCAGCAACGGGCTCAGCCCGGATGCCTGGGAAATCCCCATAGCAGAGTACAGGCACCACTGCACCCAGATCATCCCCATCCAGCCTCTCCTTGCACCCCTCCAGGGATGGAGAGTACCCCCACTTCCCTGGCGTCTCTCCCACGGCCTCCCTGCTCTGACAGCGAAGATCCTGAGGACTGGGGTTTCTCCCCCTTCCCTAGGCCTGCAGAGCCAACATGGCATCGGTATCCTGCCCCTGCCTGCAACCAGCTTGGGCAGCCGTGAACCTGGAGCTGCCCCCACTCTGTGCCACCCCCAGGCCCTTACAGGGGGTGACTGGGCCCCTGCCCAGCGGTGCTCTTACCTCTGGGCGTCAGGCTGGGAGATGGCGTTGACAATGGCCTCCACGGCCGTGTCGAAGAGCTCAGGGTCCTGCAGGGAGGCAAAGGCCGCCTGGATGAGGCTCTCACAGTCCATGAGGGGGATCTCCAGCTGCACCCAGCTAGAGAAGCACTTGAGCACCTTCTGCTTGATGAAGCCGGGGGAGTCCTGCTGCTGCAGCAGCTGTCCCAGCAAGGGGAAGACGGAGCCGCACTCCTGCGCCAGGACGCTGCGCACCTGCCCCTTGCGGTACTGGGGCAGGCGGCTGGTCTGGAACTCCTCGGGCAGCACTGTCAGCAGCTCCAGGAGCGCCAGGCAACGCGCCCGCCCGTCCACGTTGGCGTCCTCTGCCTGGAACATGCGTACCATGTCGGCCACGGCACAGGGCCAGGCCTCGGGCATCATGCTGAGCGCCAGAGAGGCCAGCGCCACGCACAGCCGCGTGAGCACGATCTTGGAGCCGCCAGCGAAGCGGGCGATCTGGGCGAACAGCTGCGACTTGAGGCTCTCGTACTGGTCGGCCGGGATGTCGTTCCAGTAGCGCGAGATCTTAATGTGGAGGGCGCTGGCACCGAAGTACTGGATCTCGGGCACCTTGTCCATGTTGAGCAGAAGCCAGCTGAAGTGCCAAGCCTGGGGCGAGACCTGGGCCTGCATCAGCCATTTCTGTGCCAGGTTCTTGTTCTCGATGCTCGGGTCGTAGTACAGCTGGTGGAGCGCCTGGGGAGAGAGCTGCAGGTGGGCGCGGGGTCGGGCAGGGCCGTTCTGCCCCTGCCCAGGCTGGTCAACAGCGGGAGAGGCACAAACCCGCCCCTCAGGCCTGGGAGCCGGCACATGAGCTGGGAGAGAGGCCCACGGGTGGCTGCCTGCCTCCTGGCCTGGCAGGAGCAGCCGTGGGGAGCCAGCCCTTCCCTCCTGTCCTCCCCATCCCGCCGCCTGGGCCACAAGAGGCCGGTCCCCCTGTGTCCGACTCACCACTGTCACTTGTTATCACTAACACCCCAAGGCGCGGGGGTCCATGGCATGCGTCACCCGCACCCAGACCGCGAGGACCAACAGCCATGAAGCTTTGCCGCTCGGGCACCTTTCCTCTGCCGGCAGGCGGTCGCCATGTGAACAACAAGGCACTGGGATCTGCCTGTCCGCAAAGGCCCCTTAGTGCTCTGAGCCCACTTGACCCAGCTCACGAAGGGGGCTGGAGACCTGGCTCTAACCCTGGCTCAGCCACGAACCCCTGTCCTGGTTAGGACTCCTCCCTGGGGGGAACTGGGTCCTGAACACAAGCAGGAAGGCAGCTGCTGCCTGCCCCTGCTTCAGCCTTACCTGGCACAGCACCGGGCAGGGCTTCTTCTCAACCATCGTACGTGACTCAGTGCTTCATGGCACCATGTACCGTACTGCCACTGTCGGGCCCTGGCATCACCCCTCCCTGGCCCCCCTGCCAGATGGACAGGACTGGGGAAGAGAGGGTCCAGCGCTTACAGCCACCAGCCCCAGGCCATGCCCAGAGCTCCCTGGCCCGTGCCGGCAGCCCAGGACACCTCCCAGCACGAGCCCAGAGAGCAGGTCACCACAGCAGGCAGGACAAACAACACCGGCTTCCTGGCGCAGCGCTGGGGGCCTCTGGGGTTTGAGGCGAGAAGCGATGCTTTGGGGCACTGAGGTGTTATTACACGCATGGGGAAAGGGAGACAGGCAGCTGGAGAGCCAGGCGGGGCTGGGAGCAGAGAGGGACACGTGGGACGGAAGGACACGTCTGAGTGACCAGAACTCGGCCCCTGTCCCAGAGCCCCTCGTGAGCAGCTTCTTCCCCACACAAGGGGCCCTTGCTGTGGGGCTCCACGAGCAGCTCCCATCAGCAGCCTCCCTCCCACCGAGCCCGGGATCCCTGGCGGCGCATGGCAGCGGGGTGCTGCGCACCCAGGGCTCCAGCTGGGCACGGGCTGTGTCTGCCTGGCACCTTGCATCTGATCCTGCGCCTCCAGAGCCAGTGGCTGCTCAGTCACGCCTGGTCCCACATGCGGCGTGCAGCGCTGCCTTGCCTGCGGCCTTGTGCACGGGATGTGCAGAACAGGTAGCACCACGTGCTGCTTCGGGCAGGCAACTGCACAGCAAATGCGCCCCACGCACCGCGACCAGCTAGGAGAACCTGGCAGGGTCATGGGAACCTGCTGGCACATCCAGCTGCCTGCTCTGGGGCTAATGCAGCTGCAACGAGGTCTGTGAGGGGCTCCAGAGGGGGCCTCATCCTGCCACTGGCTCCCAGCAAGTGGGATGTGGTGCCTACAGGGATCCTGAGGTCTTTAGGAGGGACGGGATAGAGGGAGCTGCCTGTCCAGGACCAGGCACAGACATGGGGCCTACGGCGCCCAAACATGGCGTGTTTTCTGCAAACGAAGTGGCAGCAGCACCATCGGGCAGAGGCTGGCTGACACTGCGATGCCAAGCACAACACGAGCACAGGGAATGGGGTTGTGCCAGGTGCTGTGCAAGCCTCTGGCGAGAGGTGGGCCTGGCATACTGCAGAGGGGTGATGGAAAAGCACAAGGCCACCTGCCTGCATGGGGGAAAGGGAGCTACCCCCATCACTCCCAGCTGGACCGCCCGGACACTCCCACCTCGCCCTGCCTCCCAGTCCAGCAGCGAGACACCCCAAGACGCGCAGCCATCGCTCAGCAACGTGCCGCCTGCAGAGCCGCACACACGATGGGAGAGCTCCCCGAGAGGAGAGGAGAGGAGAGCCGAGCAGCACACGCACTGGGGGCCCTGGAGAACAGAGCAGCGCGTGTACCAGAGCCAGCCGCCTCTCACGCTCTCTGTGCCCTGCAGCTCATCACCATCTCCGACCTCCCGGCTTGGAGGAAAGGGGCATCGGCCGCTATCGAGCATGCAAGTGAGGAGCATGGCCTCCAAATCTGACCTTCAGTGCTGGAGGCTGCGGGGGAGAGAGGAGCAGGGGGGAACCCTGCTCAGACCCAGTCGCTCTCCCTTCAGCCTCCGCTCTCTGCCGCCTGGAGACTGGGCGCCACAGCCCTAGGTCTGAGCCAGGACACAGCAGCTCTCATGTTCATATGAGATCCCCAAGCAGCAAATGCTCTAGGACAAGCACCTGGGAACCCAGTCTCAGCTCGCTCGCCTGTCATACGAGGCATTTACAGAGTCACAGAAGTTCAGGGCTGGAAGGGACCTTGCAAGATCATCAGGTCCAGCTCCCTGCTCTGGGCAGGAAAGACTGCTGGATGCAAGACAAATGCCCTTTGTGGCAGGGGCCAGGGAAAGCTCTTCCTTGGGACTCCCCCCAAGAAGGAGCCTTATTTGGTCTCCCTCTCCTGAGAGGACCCCCTGCAGCCATACTCCCTCCCCTGCCCCAGCGTGGAGCTCTGGCTGCTAATCAGAGAACCAGCTCGTTAACTGGGCAGCAGGGGAAGAAGAGGGCATGGGCCCAAGCAGGTCAGCAGCCGCAACCAGGAGGACAGTGGGATCGGCTGGGCAGCCAGCCCAGTGCGGGGCTATTTTTGTGCCCAACAACACTGCCCCTGTAACCCTAGACCGGGTAAACAGCCCTGCAGCAGGCAGGCTGGCCAGCCGGCCCCTGGCCCAGGGCAGCATGTTCACCAGCCTCCCAGGACAAGAGCTGGGGCCTGCCGTGCAGCGCACGAGGCCTGGGGTGGCCCTGCTTCCCCGAGCCGCGTGCTGCCCTGCTCCTGCCGGGGGGAGCGAGTGATGCCAGGCACCAGGGTGCCGGCTCGGAGCCTGGGGCGCTCTGCCCTGGCACGGCTATTACGAACAGGGAAGCAGCAGCTGCCAGGGCCTGGCATCCCCAGAGCCCGCACCCTCCCACTCAGCTCCACTGAGCCCTTCCCGCAAGCCAGGAAATAGCAACCAGTCTCCCAGGCAGCGCTGAGTAACCAGCCTGGGGGAGACGAGGGCCCTGCCGGCTCCCCCGAGACCTGCAGCAGCAAAGTCCAAGGGGGCAGAGGAGCAGCGAAACATGTGGCGTCGAGCATGGAGCCCGTGACAGGGCTCTGGGCCTGCACCCGTGTGCTGCAGCCTGGCGCCCCCGGGAAGCCAGAAGCTACGACCAGGCTCTGCCGTGATTTCTCAGCCCAGCCGGCTGTGACCCCCGTCGCATGGCCCCGCAACCACAAAGGGTACCAGGCCCAAAGCAGGGCACTGCAAGCTGGCAGGGCGACGGCGCTACCACATCCAGTTCCCCCTGCCGGGGACCCTCGCGGTGCTGCCAAAGCACAGGGATCTGCCCCCACAGTCAACTGTGCCACTGACCCCACATCCTGGCAGGTGCCCTGGGGCCAGCAATGCGTGTGCAGCAGCGTGGCGGCACCGTGACCCGTCCTCGCTTCAATACTAAGTCTGTCCCATAGCCCCAGCACGCCACACGCTCGGGGGCACTTGGCCCCGGGAGACACGGCCCCAGATGCTTTTGGGGCGGGGGGTGGCAGGGCAGAAGGCAGCAGTGGTCTGGCCCGAGGGGGGAACTGCAGCAACACCAGCTGGGAGGGAGAAGTACGCAGCTACGGCGCCTCCGCAGAGCAGGAGCGGGGCCCTGGCTTGGAGGCGCAGGGAGGGACGCGCTGGTCTGGCTTGGTCTGCCTGCCCCCATGTCCTGGCCCAACCAGGCTCCCACAAACAACCCCCATGAGCCCCAAGGGGCAGGAATGGGTGGGCAGAGGCATCCAGCCACCAGGGCCAGGGGAGAAGCTGCGAGCGCCAGCGCTGGGCTGCCAGGGGGTGGGGGATCAGCTGGGAAGGGAAGCACAGCGGGACTCTGAAATGACCCCAGGGAACCCCGCACCCTTCCAGCCTGGCCCCAGCATCTCCCACCCACCCAAGCTACACCCCTCTAGGGCCAGAGCAGCTGCTCTCACAACGCACTGGGAAAGAGCCCGCAGCTCGGGGAGACGCCTGGGCAGGGAGCAGGCACAGCCAGGGTCTCCAGGGAGGACCCCCAAGTGCACTGGCCCTCTCCTGATTTTTGGGGGGGCGGGAGGGGTCAATGGGTGGCCAGCCATGGCCAGCACAGGGGATGAGGGGGGCCAAGCTTTCAGTGGGCCTCAGTGCATCTCTCTGCTCACCCCCCAGATAGGAGCACAGGATCCTCCGGCTGCCCTGTCTCGGCACCGCTGCCTGGGGCCTCAGCGGTGGGCATCTGTCTGCACAGAGGCCTCCCCCATGCCCAGTGGAGAGTGGCACGTGATGACTTGCAGTCACTGCGAGCTAGGCCTGCTCCTTCTGCCTGCTCTGGGAGACTGGATCCAGGACTCCAGCAGGACAGACCCAGGGCTCCTCAGAAACAGGTGGGTCCCCACCAGCCCTGCAGCCGCAGCAGCCCCCAGCAAGAGCCACACTCCCGGAGCAGCCCTGAGCCCTGCAGAAGTGCAGGAGCCCTGAACCGCCGGGCTCCGCTGCCCGACCCCAGCCCAGCTCCCCGGAGCTGCATAGCTTGTGCAGATGCCCGGCCTGGGCAGCAACTCAGTATGTGGTACTCTGCTCTCTTCCCTCCCTGTGACTGGGGACCTGCCACCTCGACCCCCACCCGAGCCCAGCACGGCACCCAGCGGGAAAGGGCCATGACAGCCAGGCAGGCCTGCGAGGGGCTGGAGGAGGGGAGGCCGAGCCTTCTGGGGAGCAGGCGCAGAGGCTGGACCCAGAGCAGCCCGGAGAGCTCCGCTCCAGCGCAGCCCCTCGCACCCGCGCATGCCAGGCTAGGCACCACCCCAGTGCCACCGACCTCGCCAGCCAACATTTGCTTTATTGTTGGTGCACACAAAGGCGCTGTCTGTGCATGCCCTTGGGGGGGTGGTGTTCAGAAGCATAACGATCCAGCAGCCCAGTACACGTGTGGATGGGGCTGCAGTGTGATGGGCCCCGTAGTGCCCACAGGACCCCCAGGGCAGATACAAAAATCCCCCCCTCCCACTGAGGCGGCGGGTGCTGGAGCCAGGACACAGGTCAGAGGCTCCTGACCACAGTACTGGCTGACCCAAAGAGGTGCCTACCCCACACAGGCATACGCAAGAGTGAGGCATGTGCCAGGAGATCCCACCTCCAGCAAGGGCAGGCTGGTGGCAGCCCCCTGGGACCCAGCTCTCCAAGGCGCCGCCAGACATTCGAAGCTCCCCGACCCACCGAAACCATCTTGTCCTGAACCCCGGCTGCTGGCAGGGGACTTCTTTGCTCCTGGCTCTCCTCTGCCTCCCCAACCCTAGCTCTGAGTCCAGGCAGCACTGCTCCCAGAAACAGCCAGGGCACAAAATGGGCAGGGCTGCCTGCTTCACCACCGCTGTGAACCTGACTGCAGCAGGAGAGCCCCTGCGGGGGCACGGACACCCAGGGGGCAGGCTCGGGGAGCTATGCCCCTGCCAGCAATGCCCCACAAGCTCTGCACCGCTGCAGGGCTGGGCACAGTCTGTCCCCTCCCAGCAAAGGCTCAGCTCTGCAGGCCCTGGGAGCTCGGGCTGCTGCTTGTCCAGGGGCGAGACCCCGAGGAGACCCTGCTGCCCCCCCTTGGTACCCAGAACGGCTCGGAGAACGCCGGTACCCAGCTCACCCCGCTCCCGCCACCTGCTCATCGGCAACACAACAGATGATCTACTCAGGTCCCTTCCAACCCTAGAAACTATGAAACACCAGTGAGAGCCGACCTTCTGACCCTGCTGCCTGCTCCCCACCACACCCCCGGCCCAAGCTGCTGCTCTGCTGTCTGCTCCCCATCCTGTGTCTCACTGCTCAAGCTGTGCTCCGCTTCCTGCTCCCCACCCTGTGCTCTGCTGTCTGATCTGCTGCCCTGCCCTCTGCCCCACCCCGATCTGCAGCATGCCACACTAAGGCCGCTGGTGGCACTTGCGGTGGCTGTACCACAGTCCGGCGTCCCCCGGTTGATGTTGTGTTGAACCGAGCTGGCCTCAGGCTGCAGGAGCGAATCAGTCCCACCTCCTGGCTCTGCAAGCAGGCAGCAAGGCCAGCAGCTGGGGCCCATCTTGCTCATTACCCACTGCCGGTGTGAGCCACGCGGGGCCTAGCTGCATTTCCAACCAGCGCTGCCCGGCAATTAGTCCAGCCCGTTCCAAAATACGGGCCAGGGCAGCTGTGGAGAAGACGCACAAGACCTGAAACTGCTGGGATCCTCCCGACCCGACGCCCCCCCAGCCGCCTGCACCAGGCTTGCAGCGGCACGAGCTGTTTGCAGAGCCAGAGCAGCACCCAGGAGCAGCCTGGGCTTGGCACTCCCACAGGCAAACGGCTCTGCATGTCATACGTTGAGCATTTCCCCTGCCCCCAGCACAGTGCCGGCCTGTGCCCCCAGCACGGGCATCGCCTGCGACCTTTCCAGCAC